CATACACAAGCTGAATCAATCCTAAAATAAATCCGAGTGGTTTCAATGGACTGCAGACAGTTTTCTGCTACTGAACAAGAGGCCCTCTTTTTGCTTTTTTCAGAGGAAAAAATACTGTCTTCTACAGAAAGATAGAATGTTAATAATGTTAATGCCATCTAATGTGGATTTATTGTTGTTATAATTAACAAATACAGTACATACTGTATGTACACTATGTAATTTATTCCATTCAAACAACCATTTACAGAAAAATATGGCATAATTTTGCTGATAATTCAAAATGCGATTAATCACTGTAAATAACTAGATTGAAAATTGTAATAGTTTGAGAGCCCTACTTTAAACATATATTTTTTTGCAGTGACTTCCCACCTCTTGCGTGAGCTCAGCAGTGTCTTAATTCCAACCATTCAGTCTTGACCTTGAGTGTAATGAATATTTCAGATATTCTAAGAAACCGTTTTATTTTTATCCCTCAGAAAGAAAAGGGAGGTCGAAGTGGTCCATAAAGCGGTATACAAGACGTACCGCCAAACTCATGGATAATTCACAAAGGCAGCTCAGGGGAGAGGGCAAAGATAGAAACATGTGTCTTCCCAGCAACAGAGAGGACAGGACAATTGTGATCCAACAGAAATACTTAAAAATGCAAACATTTTTGACATTCCTCATAAGATAATAGAGATTGGAGGCTGACGGATCTTTGGGGTACGGATGTAAAATGCTCCTTTCAAAAACGTGGTAATCAAGCCAAGTCAGATGTAGGTGTGTTTAAAGTGCAATAACTGAGATCTTCGTCCTAGAACTACAAAACCCAGAATGTCCCATGATCATAGAAGGCCGGTCCACTTGAGTCCGAGTGGACCTCTTCTCTTCCTCTATCACCGGTTCAGAGACCACAGGATTTCATCTCTGCTGTTTGCAGACGATGTTGTCCTGTTGGCTCCAACGAACCAGGACCTGCAACATGCACTGGAATGGTTTTCAGCCGAGTGTGAAGGCTGGGATGAGAATCAGCACCTCCCAATCTGAGGCCATGGTGCTTGACCAGAGAAAGGTGCCTTGCCCTCTCCGGGTGGGTGGGGAGGTCCTTCCTCAAGTGGAGGAGTTCAAGTATCTTGGGGTCTTATTCACGAGTGAGGGAAGGATGGAGCATGAGATTGACAGGCGGATCGGTGCAGCGTGCGCAGTGATGCGGTCGCTGTATCGGACCGTTGTGGTGAAAGGGGAGTTGAGCCGAAAGGCAAACCTCTCAATTTACTGGTCAATCTTCGTTCCCTCCCTCACCTAGGAAACTCACCCGGCTCGTTAAAAAAACTTGTTCCCAATACTTGCCGGCGCCGTGTTGCAATGCTTCATGGGATACAACGTTTTTATGAGGATGCAATATCTACACAGACCATTACCTTTATATCAATGGACAATTCTAACCCACTGAAGCCCAAATAGGGAAGTGCTTATAGACAAAGATTTGCTCCAACTCACTCTGGCGCCTCTAGCTCACCATTTGTGTCACCCTCACTTAGGGCTTCAATCTGTGGTTGAGTGCTCTCTGATCCTGCTGTTTGTATTGTGATATCGTCTTTGTGTTTCCAGATATGAGAAAAGGATTGGCCAATGAAAAACTCAGCTTAGCAACCATCTTAGAAACACATGAACAAATTCCCATATAAGGAAATTGCCTCCGGTACAAAAGCGCCTTAGTCCACTGTAAGGCTAACACTATGGTGCTGGTTTTATAAAATTTTGCCTCTCCAACTCTGTTTCAGCATTTTGGTCCTGGTGGTGTCCTCACTGTCTTGATGGCGACCTGTGACAGATGACAGAGCTGCGGGACCTGTATGATCCCAGCTGATATGCTGTCTGCAGAGAGGCGCAGGTCTGGACTTGTGCCGTTTTCATTCAGAACAGAGTTTAAGTTGAAATTTAAACAAGAAAAAATATAAATGTTGCGGGAAACTTGTGTAATTTGCCAACAAAAAAAGCTATCTTACATTTGTGTGGTATAGAATAACCCTGTGAGTCACCATTAGACTCATTAGGCTGAGTGAGGATGGTCCTTATTTCACTTTTCTGCTGAAAAATCTGATCCAAAGATGTGAAAACTAGTGATAAAAGCAAACGGTTTTGAGGTTTTTTTTGTATTATTATATTGTTTCATCTTGTGAGTTGAAAGTTATGTACAGCTTTAACCATGACATGTCGTCTTGACCACAATTTGATTTTGAATAATCCTCAGTCATGAATCTACAGCCTCAGTCCATGGGAACGGTTTCTCACATTTCCCCCCAGTTTTTTAAGCGTCCATGCAATAAAGGACAGTGATGATTGGGGCCATTAAGGACCATTTATGGACATTGGGCCTCATTCACGAATAACTTCGTAAGAAACTACTCAACTTTCTTCTCAAGTTGTCCTTAAGTAGATTTCTAAGAAGTCCCCACGTGGGATTCATCAACGCACTCGTAAGCCGCTGAATTGTTCGCAGCTGTTCTCTCAGATTGATGAATCCCATTTCCTCGTAAGTAGAGCGCGCGTGCCCGGTGCTTCATTACCATAGGTACTTAGCATAAGTAACCGCCCACTAATGCCCATATAAGGGACTGCAGGGCCGTGTGCAGACGCCAGAGGAAACAGCAACAGGCCTAAAGCAGGCTTTTGCCAGACTGAGAATAAAGTTATAAAATGTTGACTTAAAAGTCGAAATATTATGATTATAAAGTCGAACTAACAAAATTATGAGATTAATCTAAGAATATGATGAGATTAATCTCAAAATGTTATGAGCTTAATTTAAAAATATATTATGTATTATTTTAAAGATGAATCTCAAAATGTTTTGAGATTAATCTCAAAATATTTTGGACCCTGGGAGGAGATCCAGCGCGGACCAGCGCTGAGACCAATGCAGACCCGAGGAGAGACTGGAGTGACCAGCACACAGAAACCAGCGCGGACAGGAGAGACCGCATAGACTGGAGACACCTGACTGGAGAGACCGGTGCGCAGAGACCAGCGCGGACCGAAGAGAGACCGCATAGACCAGACTTGAGAGACCAGCGCGGACCCGTATGGATCCATGGGAGAGACCAGCGCAGACCCGTATAGATCCATGGGAGAGACCAGCGCAGAGACTCAGCGCGGACCCAGTAACCTCCTGCAGCAGCAGTATATATGCCGTTGTTCTGTGGCCCGTGGATAAAGAAATGCCCCCTATAAATAGGAAGGGATCACTAATACACGGCAAGATTTCCAATGTATTTGATAAAGCGTTGGCACATTTCATTTCAAAATGAATTAAAAAGTAGGCCAGATCTGCAGTGAAAAAGGCGGTATATAAATAAAGATTACTAATAAAGATTACTACAAATAAATAAATACATACATCGATATGACGGACATATCACTGGAATGTTGTATTTTTATTCAACTTCACCAAAGAGGACAACCCCGGCGTGTGAACATGTCGGCACTGAATGCGTACGAGTGCTCCTGAGGACTCGTAGGATTTGTACTTGCCCAAGAGAAATTCTGGTTACGAGAAATATTCGTGAATGCCACTTTCTTCGTAAAAACCGCGTAAGTAGGATTTACGTACAAATCTGTTCCTAAGAACCGTTCGTGAATGAGGCCCATTGTTATTTGTTATTGTTGTGTTTGAACTGTTTTGATCCTCTAAGTTAATCTCAATGATCGAAAGTGGAATCATGTTCATTACAATCAAGTGTTTGCCAACAGTCATTTTCAATATTGGGAAAATTCTGATCTCAACTGATCTCACAGGCGGAAAGCCTTTTTTACCATTCATACTTCACCATACATTTTCTGTTATTTCACATTTGAAGACAGAAATTATGAAGCAAATATCCTCATTGTTTTTATGAAATGTCCAAAAACAATGATTAATATTTCTCCTCTAACAGACCTACAACTCGTGTAGCAGCTAAAGTGAGTTAGTCACTGCCTTCCCACATATACACCAGGAGAATGTGTGATCCTCGTCTGTATGAATCTTGCGTCAAAGCAGATTACATAGCTTTACTTCCTGTCATATAAGATCTAAGTCTTTAAAACCGGCCAATGACGCTTCGCCCTGGGCCATTTAAATCCACCAATGAGGAGGCGCGCTCTGTGGAATGTCGCTGTCGCCGGGAAGACTTCAGCTCTCAGCGGTGACTCGTGGATTACATTTACAAAGTGGAACAGGATATTTCTGCTCCTCTTTCTGGGCTCCAGCTGCGGCAAAGCAAAGAGGAGAAACACGCGCTCACCGACCGTTAAGATTGAGGGTTAGATCCTCATGACAACTCACTGAGAATCGGGTCAATGACTTTCACACGGACTGAAGCTCTGAAGCTCAAGTTGGGCTCAAAGAGGCTGCAACAAATAATATTAAAAGAGGAAATTTGCATATTTGTGAGCATTAAAAATCTATTTCATGTTTTAAAATGTGATATAATATCTTAAAGGTGATCTCAGCAACTTAAATAATAAAAAAGTATATTTCTGAAGGTACAAGCTAATAATATGTACAGTATGTATTTTTCAACAATAATACATTTAAAATACTCTCTCCCCTTGGCATAACTGATGTTAAACCAATGGAAGCTGCAGGAGTGAGCATGGGAGGGCTAACTTGTTATAATTTTTTTCCTTACAGGAACATTTTCCCTCTGCATTTGACCCATCATTCAAATTCTCAGGTTCTTCTGGACTGTACCGTATCGAAGCAACCTACCAACAACAGAACCGTATATGGGGGAATAACTGGAAAAACCAAGGCTTCCAGGAGCACTCTGGCCAATCACTGAAGGTTAGAACACTTTAGCACCAACTCAGCCTGTATAGAATCGGGACAAGAAGTACTAAAGTAGGACCGGTTGAACAGGGCCGGTGGAAGCACTCACAATCAAGGGAGAGTAGAGCCGAGTAGCACAGGGCTATTTTACAGAATAACCAAGTATACCCTCTTCTGGTGCCCGTGTGAACCCGCTTACCCTCTTGTGCCGGGTTTCTGCAGCGGCAAGCTGCGCAGACATTCGCTCCTGCATCTTTCTGCAATGAGCCATGACGGCCTGCAGCACAGCCATTGGGCTGGAGCCGGACACCCGGGCCTCTTTGTCCCCAGAGACGGAGCACTGCAGGTCCCTCTGGAGAGCCAGGAAGGGGTCCCGAAGCTGGAAGTGCCCGTATCGCTCCTGCAGAAACACCTCCTTCCTCTGGGCCTAGGAGATAAGGAGATCAGGAGAACAATTAGGAAACAAGGAGACATGGATAGAAGTTAGCAGACGAGGAGCGGAGTTAGGAAACAAGGAGACTATGAGACCAGGAGAAAAGGAGAGATGAGGAGATTAGATAGGACTTAAGAAGACTAGGTAAAACTAGAACTGAAGCAGGACTGAAGCAGGACTGAACCAGGACTGACAAAAGCCTTCTGTTTCCTAACTGAATCACATATTGAACGATCTGTTCTCGATAACGACTGCGGGAACATTGACCCGTGACCCTGAGCCGAAAATATTGATCCTTCACACTTTTAGTGCTTCTCAAGAACAGGATAATCAGTTTAAACATGACTCAGATGCGCATACACATGCACACACACACACCTGATTTGAAACGTCCTCATTGACCATTTCACCGATAGCTGAGCTGTGAGCCGCTCTCTCCAAGTTTTTATTGATCTGGTCTACTGTCTGTCAATGAGACCATTTTGCTCAGACCTGATTTTAAAGTGCTTATGGTTAGAATTTAAAACACACAGACAGACACACACACATATACACACACAGACACGCTTATGGTTAAACTATTCACACTAAATACAGGGGATGTTTTTTGAACAAGAAATTTCTGTCTGCTGTAAACTATAACATGAAACCCTCTTGTCTGGCTGGTCTCACTCGCTGGTCTCACTTGCTTGTTTATTCTTGTGTGAATATTTAGGTCAATTGCAGCTGGTTATGTAACTGTAATGACGAGTGGACGCCCACGGTCTCAAACACATCGATCTCACAAACGCACAATAAAACCAGGGACACAGAGCCTGTGGTCCTGAGGCTGCATTAGAATCACATATGTGCCCGGAACAGTCCACCGCTGTTCAAACAGAGCAATAGCTGACCAAGGCCATAATCCTATTCACACAGATGCAGACGCATGATTTTAATACAACAATATGCATTTATAAAAGCTATTATCAACACTTAAGGAATTGTGGACATTTTTTAAATTTGAAATTCTTCCGCTTTGAGGCGAACACGTGACGTCAGCAATTGTCCACATTATTCCAGTTCCCAGGTCTCTGCAATGGCTTCCTGTGGCTCAGAGAATAGACTTGAAAGCAGCTCTGCTTGTGTACAAGTGTCTCTACGGCCTCACACCTGTGACATGTTAGTGCCACATGTTAGTGCCACATGTACCGACTCAGAGTCAGGACTAAACATGGAGAGGCAGCATTTCATATTCATGCAGCTAAAATATGGAAGAGTCTTCCTGAAAATGTTAGAAAGGCTTCTATCTGGCAATGTTCAAATCCAGGTTAAAAACAGTTTTGTTTAGCTGTGCACACAACTTAAGGATTGTATCTTTACTCAGATGAATGTACTGTTATTTAGGATTCTAATGCTTTTCTTTTCATTTATTGTTTTGTGTATGAAATGCCATACAAATAAAACTTGCCTTGCTCAGAGTTTGAATCCTCTGAGCAAATAGTCTGCTCTGTTTCCTCCGTTAACCTCTCACTTGTCACATTTATAGTTTCTGTGCTGATGGAGAAGTGATGCGGAACAAAGACCACATTTTATACCAAATGTGTCATGGCTCATTTCTCCAACAAAACGACTCGAGGAAAGCAGCTGATGGATTTATAATGGCATTTTCAAAACAATGGCATTATCTCTTCAACGCAGCGTTAAAGAGATAATTGGCTTGTGTTTCTTGTAGTCATGTTATCCAAACCTTAAGAGGGCCCCTTTAGTTAAACCAGACTAAAGCCGACGACCCAGAGAGTAAAACGGTTTGGACTGGATTCAGGCTGTTCTGAGCTTTAAAATTGAGGTATGACATCAAGTCCACATTGATTCATGTTTGACAAAGCTGAAGTTGGCTGAATGACAAATGCTTACCATCTCATATTAGCGCCATTCACAACATTTACGACACAATGAAAAACAACGAGGTATAGCGTGCATACACTGCTATAGCTGGATGACACTGTAAACTTGTGTTGATGATCTCAAAGCCTACTTTCTGTTAGCGGCAGAACATGACGGAGAGGGCCGCAATTGGCCCACGGCCCTCAGTTTTTACATGCCCAATCCGTAGACTACAACATACATCATGCCCAGTCTTATCCTGAAGACTTGAGGAAATGGGTGGAGTCTGCTGTGCTCCTGCTTGGTTGGGATGAAAACCTGCAGCCACTTGGCCCCTTGAGGACAAGTCGGATATACTGCTATGATGACAATAGAATGAAATGCAAATGTGTTTTAATACAGAGGCTACTCCATCTCTGCGTCTCTGACCTGTCCTGCTCCACCCAGAGACCACTCCATCTTTGCTGCTGTGACCTGAAGGCCTGTGGCTGATTAATACTAATATTAGCTTTTTAGAATGTTCAATTTTATTTTTGCTGCTACTGGACACCTGAATTTCTCCTACGGGGATAAATAAAGTATCTATCTATCTATCTATCTATCTATCTATGTCATCCAGCCAACTTCAGCTCTGCATATATACACACATACATCATATGCCATTTTAAAGCTTAGAACTAGGATCAACTCTTTGTGCTGATGATCTCTGACCTTGGCATTTGTAGACTCAGTGAGTAGTTAAAACGACTGCTACTAACGTCTTGATATGATGACATTGGGCCTCATTCACGAATAACTTCGCAAGAAACTTCTTAAATTTCTTCTCAAGTCGTTCTTAAGTAGATTTCTAAGAAGACCCTACGTGGGATTCATCAACGCGCTCGTAAGGCGCTGAATTGTTCGCAGCTGTTCTCTCAGATTGATGAATGCCAACTCCTCGTAAGTAGAGCGCGCGTGCCCGGTGCTTCATTAGCATAGGTACTTAGCATAGGTAACCGCCCATTAATGCCCATAAAAGGCACTGCAGGGCCGTGTGCAGACGCCAGAGGAAACAGCAATAGGCCTAAAGCAAAGAGTTACAGCAAAAGAGACACCATTTTTTCTTCTTTTGCCAGACTGAGAATAAAGTTATAAAATGTTGACTTAAATGTCGAAATATTATGAGAATAAAGTCGAACTAGCAAAATTATAAGATTAATCTAAAAATATGATGAGATTAATCTCAAAATGTTATGATCTTAATTTAAGAATATATTATGTATTAATTCAAAAATGAATCTCAAAATGTTTTGGAATTAATCTCAAAATATTTTGGACCCTGGGAGGAGATCCAGCGCGGACCAGCGTTGAGACCAATGCAGACCCGAGGAGAGACTGGAGTGACCAGCACACAGAAACCAGCGTGGACAGGAGAGACCGCATAGACTGGAGAGACCGGTGCGCAGAGACCAGCGCGGACCGAAGAGAGACCGCATCGACCAGACTGGAGAGACCAGCGCGGACCCGTATGGATCCAGGAGCGTGCAGCACGGACCCGTATGGAGAGACCAGTGCAGACCCGTCTAGATCCATGGGAGAGACCAGTGCAGACCCGTATAGATCCATGGGAGAGACCAGTGCAGACCCGTATAGATCCATGGGAGAGACCAGTGCAGACCCGTATAGATCCATGGGAGAGACCAGTGCAGACCCGTATAGATCCATGGGAGAGACCAGTGCAGACCCGTATAGATCCATGGGAGAGACTAGTGCAGACCCGTATAGATCCATAGGAGAGACCAGCGCAGAGACTCAGCGCGGACCCCGCAGCCTCCTGCAGCAGCAGTATATATGCCATTGTTCTGTGGCCCGTGGATAAAGAAATGCCCCCTATAAATAGGATGGGGTCACTAATACACGGCATGATTTCCAATGTATTTGATAAAGCGTACATATTTAATTTCAAAATGAATAAAAACATAGGCTGAATTAGCATTAACAATTAAATAAATAAATACATACATCAATATGACGGACATATCACTGTAATGTTGTGTTCTATTGAACTTCACAACACCAGCGTGCGAACGTGTCGGCACTGAATGTGCGTACGAGTGCTCCTGAGCATTCGTAGGATTTGTACTTACCCAAGAGACATTCTGGTTACGAGAAAATTTCCTGAATGCCACAATCGTCGTAAAATCTTCGTAAGTAGGATTTACGCACACATTTGTTCTTAAGTACGGTTCGTGAATGAGGCCCATTGAAATTACCTCATTGAGGGACAAAACAGGTTTATCTTATATTATCTCTTATCTTAATTCTGTCTGTTTAATAATGCATGGCTTATATTTTGTGAGTTTGATGACTCCCGAAGGCGCATATCAGCATTATTCATTCACTCCATACACAGTGGTAATAAACTACAACTGTAGCCAACAACTGCCCTGGGACAGACTGAGAGAGCATGGCAAACAGTATGTTCCATCTGTGGTGGTCAATGCCCATCACAGTACTACCAAGGCCCTGTCCTGCTATGCTTCAGAGATCTGATGGGATCTGATTTTCACATGCTGGTGTTTTCCTAATACATCTAAACACAAGCATTACTACAATTATCTTGGATTTTATCAATATTTCATAAAAATAATCATAAAAAAATAATCAAAGATCCATGTTTGTCAATTTTGGCCCCTCCAACTTATCCAACTGAGGGTTTCGTTGAGCCTAGTCCTCCATCGTAATTGTCTGCGTTTGTTGGCAGCAAAGATGAGCGAGGAGTTTTCTCCTGAGCACAGCAGCCTCTGTGGTTTATGTGCACTTTTTGACCTGAACTCTGCTGAGTCCAGTCTTCAGAGAGGGAAGGCAGCTGCAGCAGAGTCTACTCCAACTCATCACTATCGGACTGTCCACTGAATCAGCTGAAAGTGGAAAGTCCAAGCTCTGGCTCTGGGTCTCTCTGGTCTCTCTGGTCTCTAGTCTCAGGTATAACATATCTAGGCAGAGCTATTGTTTGTGAGCCAGGGGTGTTGCCAGGTGGCTGATTGGAGGCAGTAACTTTCAATTACTATTCTTTTAATTTTAATTTTTTTATTTTATTACCAATGTCTTACAAGACTTGGTCCAAAAATAATCTTCAAACCTAAAATAAAATGATAACATGAGCGCTATGACTCCTCCTAGATAGAACTCTGCAATAGAACTCATCAATGGGCTATATGCACAGGGAGGCGTGACGTAATTTCCTGTTAACGCAGATCAGCCCGTTCACTTCCTGCCTATGCTATCCTATGGCTTTTAGGTGGGTTTTAGTGACATTTTTTAGTGATTAAATTGATACATTCAGCTGTAAGACTGACCCAAAAGTGTCGCTGTGCTTTCTTTCTGAGGTAGAGCTTTGACTGTGGCCACTCAGAGCGATTAGTTAACTTTAAAAAACACAATGACAGCACAATCAAAGAGCACTGCTGTGTCCAAAAATGCCCAGTATCCTCACAGTTTAATTCCCGTTTGAGCATTATTTGGGAAACTCGTGTAACTTCTGAACTCCAGTGAAACTC